TAACTAACTTGTCTTCTCGTTTTTCTCATCTACCTGATGAACAGCGACAAGATGTGGTGGATTTGATCACTGTTTTTCCAACTTTATTTTCGGATGTTCCGACTCAGACCAATGTGTTGCGACATGATATTGAGGTTAGTGGTGCAAGACCGATAAAACAACATGCTTATCGACTTAATACAATTAAGAGATCTGTTATGAAGGAGGAGACTGAGTATCTGTTGGAAAACGGATTGGCTCGACATAGCTGCAGTCCATGGAGTTCTCCATGCATTTTGGTAAACAAACCTGACGGTTCGTTTCGCTTTTGTACGGACTACCGCAAAGTGAATGCCGTGACAGTACCTGATTCTTATCCTCTTCCCAGGATGGAAGATTGTGTGGATAATATAGGTTCTGCCAATTTTGTTAGTAAACTGGATTTACTTAAGGGATACTGGCAAGTACCATTAACATCGCGTGCATCTGACATCTCTGCGTTCGTAACCCCTGACTGTTTTCTACAGTATAATGTTATGGCTTTCGGGTTGCGAAACGCACCTGCTACGTTTCAAAGGTTGATCCAGATTGTTCTAGCTGGTGTCCCCAACTGTAACGCATATCTGGATGATTTGGTAATTTTCTCTAAGAACTGGACAGAACACATGTCCTTACTTCACACAGTGTTTGAGAGGTTGGAGAACGCTTCATTGACTCTTAACTTGGCGAAGTGTGTGTTTGGTCAAGCCAGTGTTACATATCTGGGTAAACAGGTGGGACAGGGACAAGTGAAACCTATTGAAACGAAAGTTGTAGCCATTACGGAATTTCCAGTACCTAAGACACGTCGAGAGTTAAGACGATTTTTGGGTATGGCCGGGTACTATCGCAACTTTTGTAAGAATTTCTCTACGGTAGTGACCCCTCTTACTAATCTTCTTAGTCCAAAACGAGATTTTGTGTGGACTAATGAATGCCAGATTGCATTCGAGAGTGCTAAGGCTTTATTGTTTAGCACTCCAATTTTGGCAGCTCCGAACTTTGATCGTCCTTTTAAATTGGAAGTTGATGCGAGCGCGGTTGGTGCGGGAGCAGTGTTACTTCAAGAGGGCGGGGATGGCGTGGATCATCCCGTGTGTTTTTTCTCTCGTAAGTTTAATCGACATCAAGGAAATTATTCTACGGTGGAGAAGGAAACTTTGGCGTTGTTGTTTGCCCTGCAATTTTTTGAGGTTTATCTAGGCTCTTCCAATCTGCCTACGGTTGTGTATACGGATCATAACCCCCTTGTTTTTCTTTCTCGGATGTACAATGCGAATCAACGTTTGATGCGTTGGGCTCTGTTTGTACAGAGTTATCATCTTGAAATGCATCACAAGAAAGGATCTGAGAATGTCCTGGCGGATGCTCTTTCCAGAGTTTGAGAAAACTTATGACGGGTGAGTTATGATCTTATTTTGTGAAAGATATTAATTTTAACAAACGGTAGACGTTTGTTTTTGATTGTGGGGGTGTTACGAATAAAGGTGATTACAGGAGACTGCGACTTTGGGTGTCTCTGTATTTCTTTGTGTTTCTGCCGTGGTCTACTTTCTCTTTCGCAGATGAAGCGCTGATTGGTTGTCCTGGTCACACTCATTGGCTCATCTCTGCGGCTTGTCATCAGAGAGGAGGGAAAGAGCGATCCAATCACGGGGATCATCAGGAAATGCGGGAACTATAAAGGAGCACCTGAACGCGATTGATGTGGCCAGCCTTTTGTTTTGTGAACTGCAACCGTTCGCTTAGTTCTTTGTTATGTTTGTGTTGACATTCGTTTGATTATTGAATCAGTTCGTTTATGTTAAGTTTGTCATGTGAATCAGTGTTAGTTCTGTAACCTGAACTCCTTTACTCGTTATCTGGAATTGAGTATTGATGCTTTGTTAAAACGGGATAAAGAAAAGGGTCAGGTAAGATGTCACGTGACATACATTGTGCACATGTAGCATTTTTCTTTGTTTAAACACACTAGATTTAGGGACAAGTGCCACCGTTGTATTTTTGTTTTGGTTAGTTAGAGTAGGGAAGCATACGACGTCGCGGACGTCGAAGACTTTTCTTTTCTACATTTTATTTTGGTTAGTTAGGTTAGACTAAAAACGGGTAAGAAAGATTGTTTTCTTTTTATTCATTTCTTTGAGTTGGCACTGTCCAGTTGCCCTTTTCCTTTCCCAGAATTAATATATATTTTGCTGGTATGTTTATGTTACTTTATTGATTGACAACTATTTGTTTGAAGTGTTTCTTTATAAATATATGTACTTGTGAAATACATATATTTTGTGGAGAACTCTTTTTGACCGGTTGTGGCCAGCAATAAAAACCCTTAAGTATTCTACTGCCTTTGCTTCACTCACTTCCCAGTGTTCTTTTGGTAATTATTGTCGAGGGATGATTGATGTTCCCCTTCTAACGCCCTAGACGGCTAAAATCTAAGAAGGGTCGTAACAGTCATTTAAATAGGCTAAACGAATATTCGATTTCTATGAGCCCGAATATTCGAATGCATTATTTTTGAAAAATGCCCATCCCTAATTTTAATAGATAGGCCTATATTTACAATTATATCAAACAGAAACAAAGCACAAACATTTGCATGACCAGCAGCAACAGCAGGACATTTGCAAAATTATTTATTTACCCCCAACTCACTTTGCAAAACACAGTCCTTGCTCCCCTCGTCTTCCCAACCATTTCCTGCATAAACTTTTTTTTTTTTTCGCTACAAATCAGTGCACAGACAATTTGTAGGCTATCATTTTTAATAACAAATTCAGTGTCGCGCGAGAACTCCGGTCTCACGCACGCGTGATCTTCCGTTATTTCCTATCACTTCTCGCGTTTGTTTGGTTGTGAAACGTAGTTTGCGGACCAGGCAGAAGTTGTCGGTGATTCTTTCTTTTGTAAAGTCATGCAGCGTGAAACCTCCTGTCGCCGATCCATCGTGCAGTGTGAACACAGCAGCAACTGAATGTTACTCCAGATTAGTGTTGTCGTGCTAGAATTTCTAACTTCGATACGATACCTTGAAAAATATCGATATTCGATACCATTTTCGATACCACGGAGAAAAAACTGCCACAATATTAAGGGGGTATTTTTTTTTATTTAAAGCTAAATATAACAAGTCTAGAACATGACAATGAGGTATATTTTACATGAGCAAAAATGTCCTGAGTTCTATTTGTTTATATTTTTTAATTGGACCAGAGCTAACATGATGTACTTTTATTACCTACTGTTATTTAAGATTAAAATATACTGTAACAAAAAAGCACTTAACAGTATCAAATTGGAGGATAGAGAGTCAGTAATGTATAATAATAAGATTAAACATTCAATTTTCAGTTAAAGGCATGTCATTATTGAATTCAGAGATGCCATTGTCTAGCTGTTTAGTTTAATTAATATCTGTGTAATCAAATTGATGATAATCGCTAATGAAGGAAAATTGCAGAATTAAATAATATTTTTTGAATAAAGTTAAATAGGCACCAGTTAATTTACATTTGACCACAGTTACAATATTTACTTGTCTAAGATTCCTCAGTCAGATTATGTTAACTTTAAGAATTAAAACGAGACAACACAGACTCTTATCAACAACAATACTAGGCCATCTTGGTTAATGTTTCAGAAAAGTTCAAATGAGAAGAGTTACAGTGGGGTTTTTTAGCAGTGGGGGCAGGTCTGTCCAAACAACAAACACCCCTGATGCTGAGCATTTGCTGCTAAATAGTAGCCTACCCCTGGAGCCTGTTCCTTAAGTCTGTTTTCACCAATACAATAATTTTAAAAAATGAGTGATGTGAGGGATTATTGATAGTCAAACAATCTGTTGGCCACAATCCAAAGCAGGTCTAAAATCTTAGCTGAAGTAATATTAAACGCGTTAATAATGTATCTGTAAGACTGGAAAAACTATTCTCCGACATGCCCGCTCGCGGTGTGTAGCTCGTGTCCGCGCTATTCTCCGACATGCCCGCTCGCGGTGTGTAGCTCGTGTCCGCGCTATTCTCCGACATGCCCGCTCGCGGTGTGTAGCTCGTGTCCGCGCTATTCTCCTACATGCCCGCTCGCGGTGTGTTCTTTACGCGTGTCCGCGCTATTCTCCGACATGCCCGCTCGCGGAATCAACCAAAGCCGGTCGCGGGGGCGCCATCTTTCCATTCACTTCACTTTTGCTATTTAACCAGAGCGAATGAGACGAGTGCGTCACGTGTGGTGTTTGTCAACGCGCCTTTTGAGAGAAGTGAAAGTGACTGCTCGCCTAGTATCGATACTTCGGGAAATTAGTATTGGTACCGTTCAGATATTTCAGTATCGATATTTATCGAAATATCGATATTTTTGACAACACTACTCCAGATAGTCATGCAGTGTGAAAACAACAGTGACCCGATTATTTTTAAAATCGTGCAGTCTGAACTCGGCATTAGGGGAGGGACTTTGTCTTTCTCAGGTGTGAAACACTAAATATTAATGGATGGTTAATGCCTCCCCGCATACAGCTTTCTTACACAAAACATGTCTTACCAATTTTAAATCAATATATTGTCTTATCTGAATGAGTTGTCAGGATGATTTGTTGTCAGGATGATTTTCACATAGTTTTGAAGCAAATATTCTAGGCCACGTGATACAATTTTCAAAAGTCTTGTGAATAAATAATTAGTATGGGTTTCATGACCTTATTTCAGTGACAATGATTTTTAGTTTTTTCACAAACCACGCATAAACGTCATTATCTCAAAACTAAAAACTTTTACGTACATGTTGCTGACATATTACTGTAGCAGAGTTTGTGCTGAATACAGTGTAATCAGACTTTAGCCATGAAAATGTCACAAGTATCAGAAAAAAGCACAAATGTCAGAGCATGTCAGAACACCTCCAGGGCCCAGAAAACACCTCAGACCCCAGAGGGTTAAGTTTGTAGAGTTTATACACAGATGTGTTTTCTTGCATGTCAAACTCACTGGTTGAGAATGGTGTTGATGCGTGACGCAGGGCAGAGGGTGCAGAGCAGAGCCCAAGCCTGTAGGGCGGCGCTGTGGAGCGCAGGGGTCCCAGCTTTGACAGAGGGCAGAGTGCTATCACCCAGGGGATATGCAGCCACAAACACGCTCTCCAAATGTCCAAGAGATTTTATCAGGTCCTGAAAAAGACAGATGATACTTCTACAAACATGCAGATCTATAAATATTAATATGCTTTTTACAAGATCTGACTGTACCTCTGGATCGTCTGAGGCAGAGACATAGCAGCAAATACCTAGAGCTCGAGCGCACTGACAAAAGATAGATATATAGTTAAACAATCACATTTTAAAAGTCAATGTAATAGATCTAATAAGAGTTTATGAACATATGAGGCATCACTCACACTCTGTCGCGCTGAAAGGCTGGCACAGCTGTCAATCAGGATGGAGCTGAGGATGGGGCGAAGCATCTTGAAGCCCTCCTCACCTTCGACTCCACCCCCGAGCTGCCCACACAAGAGAGCACCCACTGTTGCAGCCGCCGCCTGCTCCTCTCCTCCACCTAGAGGGAATGAGACTTTACTCAGTAAGTCAACCCAGTTTCATTTTCCAAGTGGGAGAAACAACAGATAGATGTCCATGTGCAGCTTGGGATTTCTCCCCACATAAATAATCACACACTGCAAGCATCAGTACAACAAAAGGTCATAGCTGTCAACCCTCCCGTTTTTTCCGGGTTTTTTTACGTATTTTAGCTCTTTTCCTGCTGTCTACCCGTTTTAGTATTTTGCCGTAAAATATCCCGTATTTTTACGCTCTGATTGTGTTAACTCAAACACGCAACTATCTGTGTGGCTTGCACTTGGGTTGCTAGATCTAAAGTAGCCTACTCGGTCTTGCGCACCCAACGTCATTTTTGCCGCGCGCACCTTCACGCTCGTGCGGACGCGTCGAGTATAAACAAGGCTTTATGGTGTGTTCACACCGAACGCGAATAGAGCTCAAATACGCGTCTATCACGTCTAGTTAGACGCTTGAACATTCGCTCGAGTTCAGAAATCAATTATCAATCTTAATTGATTCCTAATTTTTGTTTTGTTTTGACTTTTATTATTGCATTGAAATATAAGTGAATTTTATAAAATAAAAATAAACATAATAATTAGAAAAGATATATATAAAAATTTAATATGGTATACTTTTGGCACACTGTCCTCAATCGATTTTTGGCCCTTTGTATATATTAAAATTACAGTTAGCTTTTGGACGAAGAGTGGTTATAACTTTCTGATATCTTTAGAGTGTAAGAGCAAGCAGAATGGTTTATCTTTCTTGTTTTATTAGATAAAACGCATGTTTTGTTGTTTTTTGCCTTTCTTAATTTCTTAATGATGTTTTTAATTATATAAATAGTTTATATTTTGTGAATAAGTACAAGCAGCACTGTCAACAGGAGAAATATATAAAATAATAATAAAAATGATCTTTACAGTGCTTTTACTTAAATTCTTACAATCACGTTTTACTAATTCACAAAAGATAAACAAGTATTTATGTAAAACAATAAATAAAATGAATAATTAAAAACGATGAAACATGAGTTTTGATCTTATAAAACATACATTAACAAGCATATATAAAAGCAAACCAAAAAAAAGACAAAGAAAATCAGTCCTAATTCCAACCTTTCCTCAAGCTCCTCTCCAGACAGTCACTAATGGTGAAACGTCTCTCTAACAGGAATTCATACAGGACTCTGGAGGAAAACGCCAAGCGCAGACTTTCTAATCCAGCCAGACGGGTCTTAGCACTGAGAAACATATAAAACAACAGAGTGAAACAGCTGCAGAGCTTATATGCTTTTCAGTAACTGTGTAATTGCAGACTGTTGTATTTTAGCGTATTGATACCTTTTGTCCATCAGATTGTCAATGCATTGCTTCAGTTTGTCTTCTGTTTCTTCCTGAGCAGTTTGTTCATCTACTGCCTCACCTGCACAGAGTGTCAATGTGTGGATGTGCTAGGGGCAATACATATTTGCGATAGTTTGTGCATTTATCCAACTGTAATTGTGCATGTACCTGTGCCCTCTTCTACAACAGATGCGCTCTCACTGGCGCTGCTGCAGTGACTGAGAACATCAGACGCTAAATCATCATCACTCACACCAGACTCGCCTCTCACCCCATTCCTCCCTGAAACAGAGAGAGACAAGAATAAGAGATACACATTGAACATTAGTTTAGTGGTTTAAATTAATAAAAGAGGGAACAGAAGGGAATGATCATAGGTTAGGGGAATAGATGGGTCAGAGTGATCATGTATGTTTCAACTGTCAACAAAGTTCATGTACCTAAACCAATCCTATGTACAATGATTCACTTCAGTGCTCAGATAAAACAAACACGCATGTAGGATTGCAAAACCAATCCGTGCCATTTGTTTGAATAATCTAGTGTACCATTGACTTTAAATTTAACTTTTGACAAGTGTGAACAGTTTGACTATATAGGAAACCAATAGAAAAACACACCTTTTTCACTCACATATACACTAAGGAACCCTAAGCCACATCTAAGAAACAGAGCTCTAATTGAAGCCAAAGTTCAATGTGGTGTCTCTCAAACAAACATACGTCACAGACAATGGCCTAACTATTTTTCCCTGAGATACCAGCAGCAGACCTTCAGTACATAACGTGGAAGTGTCAATGTCATGATTAAAAATGACCTAAAATGGAGTGAAGAAAACCATGAATCAATAATCCAGTCCTCGGAGACTCCATCCTCTTTAAATCAATCACTGTCTCTTCACTGATCCACTCTGGATCACGAATCTACTGAATCAGGCTAATCTCTGAAAGGTAGGTCCATATAGTTAATGCTCTTGAAAAGATTCAATATTGAAACTATTATTTATCTGCCTTTTATCCTACTTTACTAGATATTGTCTCAAATGATATAGTTAGATTGATTTAATCATGATTTATCTTGATTAGTCTGATTCCCTTGGTAGAATTTTTGTGAAGATATTCCTCATTTATAAGTTGGTCTGCTTAATGTACATAATACTTTTCAAAAGTTTGGGGTCAGTAAGATTTCCTAATGGTTTTTTTTTTATGCTCACAGTCTGGCCACAATAAATGAAATCTCTCATCAATATCAATGTGACAGCTGAATAGACTTTGAAATGGTAGTGCATACTAACTGCTGTACTAATACATGCATCAGCATAACAAGACATCAGATCAGCAGGAATGAGATGGGAAGCAGCAGTGCATTCAGGATGGATGGATTCCATGTGGAGGAGTTGTCCAGAATGGTTGGGAATTGGTGGAAAACATATCTGAGACAATCCTCAACAGTCTCAGACTTAGCAAAATCAAAATGTGGATGGAAACAATTAGCCAAATATTTTGACTTGAGTTCCAGAACTTTCCAGAAGCTTCATCTCATAGTGGAGCTGTGTAGCCCAGGGTATATCCTTTGGTATTTCAATTCTACCACTGAAAAAGTGCAAATGACTACTTTTGGTAATCATCCCAGTTTCTTTATGATTGGAAGAACAGTCAAATCTCATGAAAGATGAGCTTATTACAGAAGAAGCTAATTGGCGAGAAAATAGCCTCTGAAACTGATAAATTATTTCCAGTAAAATAGGAGATAAAGGAACACATTTCTGGCTTGGTACCAATAAAAAAGTGGTTGACCTTTACTGATGTGGTTGTACAATAGACCAAAAAATGTTGGCAAACACTGATCTATAGGTCTGCATTCACAAGGAAGCAGAAGTGATATATGCTTGTGGTGAATGTTGGTTCTCAAGTCATGAAAGGCATTAGATAAATGAGAGATGTATACAAATGAATGGAAATTGACATGCTGCTCATTAAACATTAATGGGGTGAGAGGCATGAGGTCACAATCAAGATCAGGTCACGCTACCTGGACGTGACAGGACAGTTTTTGACAACTGCAGCTGAAGCACTTCCTGCCGAAGTGAGCCTGCTCACAGTGAACAGGAGGAAGAGACAGATTAAACTACTCACAGATCTTATCTGAGATCAGTTTGACATTTCAACTTTAACTGTAGGACAAAGCCAGCCAACACAGAAAAGTAAGTATTGCAGTAGCCTCAAATGTCTTCCCTAATCTTTCAAAATTACAGCAATACTGAAAAACACCTAAAATGCTGTGCTGGTCTCCCAATCTGGTCATACTTACATGGTTAGCTGGTTTTGGCATTTTTCAGCTGATTAGGATGGGAATTTACTTTGTCCACCAGCTTTCTACAAACAACAATCTTAAAGCAGCTGTAAAAACCGCCTGAAACCAGCGAAGACCAGCAAACCATAGTAGATTAGTTTAACCTGTTTGTTTTTTTTTCAGCCAGGACAATCACACAGAAATGTAATCAAGTGATTTGACAACCTTCAAACAAAACTCTTCACCACTCGTCGCAGTGAATTCTGTCACTAGAAAGACCCGTTTTTACCATGCCTGCATTTACCGGGTGACGAGGCGGTACACACACACGCACGAGTCGTGCTGACGCTGCACGTGACGCTGCTCTGCACGTGAACTTAACAAAAAAAATATTTTTTTAAAAATGGAAAACCTATCGTTCGAGACGAACGTTTCAATGTTTAATCCAAATTTTCTGTAATACACCTCGCGTGAGTGGTCCTAGAAGGCCCGGTTTTCGTGGCTCCGTAACACTTGGGCTAAATATACACGAGCCGGCATGAGCTTCACCTGTCATGCTGTAGACTGAATAACCCTGACAGTCAATCACTCTGCTTCTATCCTTACTGCTGAGGTAAAGGGAACACACAGTTTCCTAAACAGTCATAGTTAAATATTTAGATTATTCCTTAATTTGATTTAGTTTATTTATAATTCAAGTTTTTAGAAGATTTTTTTTAGAAGGTTCTTGAAATGAAGCTCAGCTGTAAATGGTGCTGAAATGGTTACAGCCACATCAGCAAGACTATATCAATCAAACCTATTTGGGGAACGTAATGCCTGAATTGTTTTTTTTTTTAAATAATATGCATCACATTATTTCAATATTTTGGCTTAAAATCGGAAAGGAAAGAGAGAGAAAATAAAGTTTCCAGCTGGTCAATGTCACCCAACCAAGCATTACTTGTACATATTACCCTATTTTAAAAGGTTATATTATTTTCTTGTTTTAACATACACTTTAATGAGGTTTATTCTTACAAGACAAAAACCCCAAAGGTGTAGGAAGGAACAATAATTCAAGAGAGATTGAAAACGACTCTCAAGAGAGATTGAAAACGACTCTTTACACAGTTTATGCAAGTATAATGATCTTGTTTTAAATATATTTTGTAAGATAAAAAAAATTCTTAGTGATATTTTGCCGTGTGATTGTGTTATACTGCCTATGACAGCAGAAGGTGTTACAGATAAACTCACCCTTACTCGAACTGTTCCCACCGCGTTTCCCCTTTTTGCTTCGTGGCATGCTGACAGCCGCTCCAAACACCAAATGACACAGATTATAGAGAACAACACACGGTACACAGTAATCTGTATATAAACAATTCCAGCCGAGAAATCCTGTCCAGAGTAACGTTATCAAAATACTGTGATATGTGCAATTTGGCCCCACGTTTCAGGCACCACAATGTAAGGTGCACCGCAATAAAAATAATACTTAAAATTCTATCTTAGTTTTAGTATATATTATCTATGGTTGTCCCCGGGTAACCGATATCTAATACCAGGTTGTGATGGTAAATGTTGTTGGAAATGTTTGGGACGGAGTATCGTGCACGTTGCTGCTTCAGATTCCACCATCTTCCCATCGGTAACGCTCGCACACCCGGCACGCTCCTCCTCCACGGACCACACAGCAGCTGGGCATTATGGGTAATGTAGTTCGCTTTAGGAATTCCAACTGACTTAATTCTGTGACAGAGGTAAAATTGAGAACTACATTTCCAACAATGATCAGCCATTTAGAAATGTTTGGATTGCACAGTCTGCAAGAAAAGTTACAGCTTTATCAACTTTTTCTGCTTGAAAACAATGACGCTAATCAGGAACTGTCAGTATACCCTGACATTTATGGTTTAATGTCGCTAGTAATTCTCATAGAATGAGACGGTGGTACACGTCACCGGTGTACAACATCGGCCATTAAAATTCATTCACTCTTTAACAAGTTAATTATTCACAATATCAATACCCACTTTTTTCTGTTTATTAATTTACTAACTAACCAACTAAGATTAATCATCGTAAAACGTTACATACTTTATACCCATTCCTTTATAATAGTCAAGCAAGCTCATTGTCTGCAAATAACCCAAATCTAATATATTATAATTTATTTTTAATATATTTTATTTTAAATCACAGCCCACAGTACAAACAGTATTATCACTGTATTACTATATTACCAATCAGGTAAAGGTTTATAAAATTATATAAAATAAAATTGTATTATTTAATCACATCCCAAAAAGAAACAAAAATGTAAATGTTCTTTCAGACAGAAAGGTTTCACAGTGATGTGGTCTGAAGTTAAAAGATGATGACATTAATTATTTCTACAGCATAAACTATACCTGAGAAATTAGGCACTTTTCTAATATTACAGTATATCTCTCATTCAGACTAATATTGTTAATAATCTTATTGTCTATCATAGAACTATAACACTAAAGAAGTACACTGGCATAAAATGAACCAGATGTGTAGAAAACTTTTTAAATGAATCTTACAGAGTTCTCTTTAAAACAATTTCACCTTCCCACATTCTCACATTGTAAGTGCTCTATCTTACACACACACACACACTAACAGCAAGTGGTCCTATCCCACATCCAGAAAGTCCATTTGATTTGAATTCCTAGTGAAGTGGCCATAACGTTGTGCAATTATTACAAAATGTTCTGGAATGCAATTTACTTAAAATAACCCAAAAGTAAATTGTGTGTTTAAAGTTTGCATTTGTGTTTGCATTATGGAATGTTCAATGTTGACGTGCGTCTCAGGCTTTACATAATCTCAAATTTTGGTTTCCATTCCAGTGCTAAATACTTCCAGACAGATCTACGACAGACCCTCTCTTAAACGCAGACGGGATTATGATCAGTAGGTCTACTGGCCCATGTAGTACTTGGTGGGCACGAATGGCATCTTGCTAACCACTGCTGGCACTGCTTTTTTCCTCACTTCCACCTGGATTGATGTGCCCACTTTACTGAAGCCAGCTTCCACATAGCCCATGGCAACGTTTTGCTTGAGGCAGGGGGAGGGGCATCCACTGGTGACCTCACCTAAAATAAAGTGGGCGGGAAATAACATCATATGGGTTTGGAAAGACATGAGGGTGAGTAAATAATGATTTTGAACTATTCTTTTAAAGTGCCCCATTATGCTATTTTAAATGTTCCTAATTTTGTTTTGGAGGTCTGATACAATAGGTTTACATGCATCCAAGGTCAAAAAAACACTTTAATTTTCTCATAATATACATTGCAGCATCACCTCTTTTCTCGGTGTCTGAAACGGTTCGATAAATGATTCGGTCTCTTTAAACCGCTCCTTTCCGTGAGCCTACTCTGCTTTGATTGGTATGATGGCCCAGTCTGTTATGATTGGTCTACCATTTACAGCGCATGTCGAAAAACATTACTATATCAGAATTCAGCGCTTCCTCAGTGCTTACATAGTAATACAAACTCAGTAATAATGGTGTCATCTTTACTATATTAATTCAAGCCCGAGTCCTCATCCTTTGGAAGTGCATGCAAAGTGAATTGGCTTTCGCAGCACAGAAAAGAGCATCTTCTCAAGATGTCGACAACATGAACCAAACTCTTCCATGCCTCAGCTACAACTACAGTGCATGATGGCGGGTCAAAGTAGACATTGTTTGCGGGCAGCTAATGAAGACCTGGCACTGTGCAAATTTGTTACAAACCTACGTAGGTTCATGCAGAAAGTATGACTAAATTCTAAACTCGTTTCAGGCAGTTCAGAATCAGTTCTTTCTTTTGGGAGACAATAACTATTGTGCACTTTGATTTTTGAAACTTTGCAGACCTTTTACATTCACAAACAGCTATACTACACAATACATGAAGGTAATATCTGAACAAGCATAATAGTGGCACTTTAAACACAAATGCATTTGTTACCTATAACCCTCCCGTCAGTTGACAGGATGGGTGTGTGTTGTCTGACAGGTGGTCCAGTGGAGATCAGTCCCACTCTCTTTCTCTGAGTCTTTGCCTTTATTTGTGGAACAATAATGTCAGCACCAGGGAAATCTAGTGCCTGTCGACGGCGCTTACCTTAACACAAACCAATAGATTAACACCTACCGGTAATACACTTTCATGAGAACTGAAAATAAAAGTCTTGACGCACCTATAGTCCAGACAAGACTTGCTTCCACAGGTGTGGTGGTCTCATCAATGTCATTGCCATAGAGACAAAGTCCTGCCTCCAGCCTGAGACTATCTCTGGCACCGAGACCAGCGAGTTTCACCTCACTATTGGCTAACAGCTTTTCAGTCAGCGAGACAACGTCTCCAGGTGGTACTGATATCTGAATAAATCATGTGTACAAACAAGAAATTTAACTTTGCATGCAGACAAACCAAGCCCCGCCAAAAAGTGTTTAAAACTAGCTAATTATTTATGTTAGATAATATTTTTTATCAGATCTAATAGTTCCTATATTGGAAAAACAAAATATGAGATTTGTGCCTCTAATTACTTATAATAGTTGTGTTTTTGAAAAAAGTCTCCTATGCTCACCAAGATTTTTGATCAAAAATACATTAAAAGAGTTATATTGTGAAATGTTATTTCAATTTAAAATAACTGTTTCTATTCAGAAAAAACAATCCTCCAGAAAAGAGTCGAAAATTCTGATTTGGTGCTCAAGTAACATTTCTTATTATTATCAATGTTGAAAACAGTTGTGCTGCTTAATATTTTTGTGGAAACAGTGATATATAAATCTTACTGACAACAAACTTCTGAATGGTAGTAAATAATATCTGGATAGTTGTCCTACAGTCAGATGGAGATCACACACACCTCAACTCCATCCTCCCCTGTATATCCGCAGCGTGTGACCCTGCAGCCCTGGATGCCAAACACTGTGGTCAAAACACTGGTCATAAAGGTCAGCTTCCTGAGGTCATCACCCACACCTTTCTGCAGAACCTGGGCCATTGATGGGCCTGCGTACACATGAATAAATACACAATTAATCGAATGCCTGAAAATGCACATAATACATTCACACACACCAATGTATTCTAAAGGAATAAAGCAGGAATGTCGGCAGTATTACCATGAAAGTACACAGGACAAAATTATAAACGCAACACTTTTGTTTTTGCCCCCATTTTTCATGAGCTGAACTCAAAGATCGAAGACTTTTTCTATGTACACAAAAGGCCTATTTCTCTCAAATATTGTTCACAAATCTGTCTAAAGCCCTATTCGCACGGGATAAGTATTACCTGGTGACCTCTAGTCATTTGTAATAATTGCGGAGGTTGTCTGTGATCTTAATCCCGTGCGAATCGGCCATGTTTGTAATTTGTAAAGTAAAAATTCCCCCGCAAATGACCTACCATATTTCGCCGAACACCGAGGTCCTGTGATAATATTAGTCCCGTGTGAATCGGCATCTCTGTAATTTGGCGGGGTCGTTTATAATTTTTTCAAGGTTTTTGTTTCCTGTGCGCTTTTTTATCCATCTTTCACGAAGAATAGAGTTGGAGTGTTTTGATAGTATTTTGGGTGCTGGGTCATATCGCTATACACCATACAACTATACAATTTGCAGAAAGAGAAAGCTGAAACCCATCAGAAGAGCAAAAACAAAAAGAATGATTAGATGGAGATGAATGACATGTATAGCAGCATACGGTAAGGACAATTCTTCTGTTTATGATATATCATACAGCTAGACCTATAATAACGACAAGACATTTCCAAGCAATAGCCTAATGACATCATATCCAGGAGATAAGTCAGTAAATTCGAGTAAAATCACAGGCTTCGCTTATCCCGTGCGAATGCGCCACACGAAATTCAGATGTGGGTGGGTAATTTCAAATTCACACGAGGTCCTCATATAGTACTAATTCCGTGCGAATAGGGCTTAAATCTGTGTTAGTGAGCACTTCTCCTTTGCCGAGATAATCCATCCACCTCACAGGTGTGGCATATCAAGATGCTGATCAGACAGCATGATTATTGCACAGATGTGTCTTAGGCTACGTTCACACTGCAGGCTGAAACGACCCAATTCCGATTTTTTTGCCCCAATGCGACCTGTATCTGATCTTTTCATGACAGTCTGAACGACACAGATCCGATCTTTTCAAATGCGACCCAGGCCACTTGGGTATGTGGTCCAAATTCGATATGTATCCGATCTTTTGAAATGCGACTTCAATCTGAACGGCCAGGTCACATGTATCCGACCCGCACGTCATTGATATGCGACAAACGTTATAATTCTGCGTTGAAGTAGGCGGGAATTGACCGTTGAGTACTCTTCTGCGCATGCGGGTCACTTCTGGGTCATTTCACGTTCACACAGGAGATCACAAAAGGTCGCATTTAATTGGAAATGAGAACGGCCTTGCAAAAAAATCCATTTTTTTCAAAAAATCGGAATTGAGCATTAAGCCCCTGCAGTGTGAACGCAGCCTTAGGCTGGCCACAATAAAAGGCCACTCTAAAATGTGCACTTTTATCACACAGCACAATGCCACAGATGTCACAAGTTTTGAGGGAGCGTGCAATTGGCATGCTGACTGCAGGAATGTCCACCAGAGCTGTTGCCCGTGAATTGAATGTTCATTTCTCTACCATAAGCTGTCTCCAAAGGCATTTCAAAGAATTTGGCAGTACATCCAACCGGCCTCACAACCGCAGACCACGTGTAACCACACCAGCCCACACCAACCTCCACATCCAGCATCTTCACCTCCAAGATCGTCTGAGACCAGGCACCCGGACAGCTGCTGCAACAATCGGTTTGCATAACCAAAGACTTTCTGCACAAACTGTCAGAACCCGTCTCAGGGAAGCTCATCTGCATGCTCGTCGTCCTCATTGGGGTCTCAACCTGACTACAGTTCGTCGTCGTAACTGACTTGAGTGGGCAAATGCTCACATTCGATGGCATCTGGCACTTTGGAGAGATTTTCTCTTCACGGATGAATCCCGGTTTTCACTGTACAAGGCAGATGGCAGACAGCATGTATGGCGTCGTGTGGGTGAGCAGTTTGCTGATGTCAGCGTTGTGGATCGAGAGGCCCATGGTGGCGGTGGGGTTATGGTATGGGCAGGTGTATGTTATGGACAACGAACACGGGTGCATTTTATTGGTGGCATTTTGAATGCACAGAGATACCGTGACGAGATTCTGAGGCCCATTGTTGTGCCATTCATCCACGACCATCACCTCATGTTGCAGCATGATAATGCACGGCCCCATGTTGCAAGGCACACCTTGCAATAATCATGCTGTCTAATCAGCATCTTGATATGCCACACCTGTGAGGTGGATGGATTATCTATTTGTGAACAATATTTGACAGAAATAGGCCTTTTGTGTACATAGAAAAAGTCTTACATCTTTGAGTTCAGCTCATAAAAAATGGGGGCAAAAACAAAAGTGTTGCGTTTATAATTTTGTTCAGTCTATATCACAGACCCACAACTTACCCTGCAGAGCAATGAGACTTTCTTCCATGAACTCTAAATTTACATCATGACCTGCTGATTTAAACTCCTGCAGTATGGCCTACAAACAAACAAACGTTTGAGCAAAAAACACATAATTACTCATAAATAAACATTAAATTACATTACTACATTAAAGAGTCAGATTCATACACAATACTATTTAATAAAACTGGAAATGAAAAAATGTTTAATAATGTCATAATTAAAAATATTTAAATGCCATGATCAACCAATCACAATCAAATGATGAGCATTTTGTATTTTCATGAACTTTTACTGGCCTGCATATGAGCAGAGTCTTTGTCTGCACAGCCAGCATTGGAGACAACATACAGGTACTCCAGATCTGTCTTGGTCACAATCAGATCATCCATGATTCCTCCTTTAGTGTTTGTGAAGAGGGACAGAGTGCCCTAGGAAAAAAAAAAAAAATTTGGATGACTAAGCAATTTGTATTATTATTTAAAGCTGGCGTGTACCGGTAGTTCGATCTTTGTGTAAGAGCAAAATAAAATTAAGACTTTTTAAGACCTTTTTGAGACCCACAGAAACCCTGGAAGTTGCAAGAAAAAATAATGTTGTGCACAGATAATCCATTTATAATATATACTGCAATAATATAAATAAAATTCCATAAAAAAACACGAATTATCCATTTTGATTTCATGGTGACTAAATTTGCGGTTATTACCACTGTGTGTGCGTCATACCTGGTTGTCTTTTAGTTCAGCAATGTCTCCAACAATCAAAGACTCTATAAACTTCACTCTGTCTCTACCATAGACTTTAGTCTGAGGAGAAAGCAACAAACCAGACACATTCAGACGCACTTCACGCTACTTCCTCATAATACAGAATATCCATTAATATTGTCAGGAATATTGGCACTTTAAACTGATAGAATTTTCATGTCACACAATTTTTTACTCTATTAAAATTAGCATTGGGTAAAAAAATAAAATAAATCACATCCGTCTACATACATCTACAATGGCAGTACTTTGAATGTCTACACACTGACCTGCAGCATGTGACTGACATCGAAGATGGAGCAGTGCTGGCGTGTGTGCATGTGTGAGTTAATGTGACTATCTTTGTATTGCACAGGCATACTCCATCCCGCAAACTCCACCATCTTACCACCCTGAGCCCTGTGGAAATCATATAGCGGGGTCTTCTTGAGTGCCACCTAGATACAGAGAAAAAGCAGTGCAAATAAATCCTTTGGGATAAAGACAGTTAATATTTTTTTAATAATAATAAAAAAAGTTTAATATTTATAGTTTTTAAAAAAAACTTTAATTTCCATGGAATCTTATATGTTGTCCAGCATGGGTTTAATAAATAAATTCCACAATGAATAAGATCAAGTGCGTGATACTAAATCAGCTTATGGTCTGGTACTGTGACCTTTGACCTCAAGGACTGGCTCCTGCCTGTGTCCAGCCACTCCCCACACATTAGGCCACATTAGCTATTTACAGTTTACGAAACCAGTCCAAAGTCAACTAAGAAGTCTGAATGAGAGACTAGGACACTATCTGATCTACTGAGAGAATGTGTGTGTGTGTTTGCGACTTTATCTTTACTTTAGGTGTCACACACTGTTTAAAAGTTCAAGAGAATCAGTGTCCCGTCACCCTATTACCAGTTAAATGATTTTAATATTAATTGTTGCAATTAGTACACATGTTCTTTTCATAAGATCATATTATTTGAGATACTAAAGGGAATGTGTGGTTTAATTAATTTGTAACACCATGGGATCATTGGAAATGAACTAGCAAAGGCAGAAAGAATAGCAGAGCATGACCTAATACAATTTCGTATTCAAGTTTTAACTTTAAACAGGTCATGTACATCTGTCATACAAAAAAAAAATCAAACTGCGCTATTCATTGTCTGCGTTTGATGACGTTACATGGTGTTCCGTACAAAATAAAATATTGCCAAATGAAGTGAACTTCTACAAAGAGAGCAGAGAGAGTGAGTGAGAGAGCAGTGAACACTCCGTATTTGAATCAGTGCATTTCAGTGATTCAATGACGGAAAGCCGCGAGGACCCTGAACGGATGGACGCTCTCGTGCTCTTAATTAGCGCAGCAGCTCGAGCGGACACTGACAGCAGATGCTTGTTCCTCGTGCATGAACGGACAAGCAATACATTCAAAATAAGAATTACATTGAAATTCACCATGCAAACTTCCCCATTATACATCTTTAGTCTTTTTTCACGGTTTTGCAAAGACTTGGTTTATTTCAAGTAGTTAGCAGTACCGTGCATACCTCTGTGGAAGCTTGTCTGTCTTGCCGCCCCTTTCCCCCCAACCCGACAGTCCGCGTGGTTTCCCTTGAAAGTCGGTTACAGAGTCCGTTTGCAAAAGCCCGAGCAAGCATGCTGTGTTTTGTTTAGTTTCACACCAACTCTTCAAAAGCCCAGCGCAGGCAACACGACCTCACTGTCAGCACGTTTCAACTCGAATCTCACTCTCGTAATTCTGCTTTCACTGCAAAACAAGGAGCGTGCCGTGTAAATTCAGAGAATCCTGGGAAATGTAGGCTAGTTAGAATTCCTGACGTGCACGTGCAGTTGAGAAATTCCCACAGCCCACAAGAAATATAATATTAGAGGTGAAAAGGGTGGCCCTTATAAACAAACAAATAGCAACATTCAATTATTTTATCTATGAATCTGTGACGCACGATGTGAATCAGTACTCGTTCTGCTAGCTATAGCAAACTAATTCGCTAGTTTGTGAAACACAATAATTTCTATGTTATAGTTTTTAATTCTTCCCCAATATTAATTGAAGAATATAATGGATATCAATCTTTCTCTAACGCTAACTAATGTCAAAGTTTTAATGCCTGTGCTGTATCACAAAATGCACACAGTCTGCATGTTACTGAATGATTATTTGGCCCCAAATCTATAAATAACCTCTCTTCTCGTCCATGAGACTGAAGCTATTTTTGGTCTGGGGATTTTGAGCTGTGTTTAGGGGTAGAGGTGCCAGGCGGACGAGACGGGCACAGATCGTTTCAGACCGTATGAGAAGAAGATAATCCAAATCACAACGGATTTCTCTCCCTTTTCTTTAGTGTTTGTCAACAACGCAACCACGAACAGGCGTATAGCGTTTGATGAAGTCAGTCTGAGGGTAAGTTTACACACGCACAGGCATCAGTTTACCATGTTAAAATGGTTTAGCCTACTGTGTTACGTATCTGGGCCATATAGTAGACATCAAAAAGTTTACATGAATTCACCCGAGCTCAGTTTTATCTATTTAGCCAATATTCATCTGAGACAATTCGAATGAGTCCTGGTTTAGAGTAATATGATGAGATGTTTGGTGAATGCAGTACACTTGTGTTTACTGTCTTTATCTGAGGTGTAGGCTATAAGGGGTTGAAAAAAAAACTAGATTTTGAGTGGCATTGTGTCAAACAAACAAATGTCCCTGTTTGTTCAATATATAGGAGCATATCACTGCTGTTTCCAGGCTTTGAAAACTTACAAGTTACAACACAAGTTACACTGGATTTTAGTCATGCATCAAAGTTGGCAAAATGTTTGAGATAAATATAGCTGTTAAAAAGAAACAGCACTATTGCATCACATAGGTAAATGCAGCATATTTAACATCAATAAACCTGCACTTAACTGTAAAACTATATGGCATTACAGTTAATTTAGTGTTTATTCAACTATGAGGTTGGGATATGTAGTCATTAACACATCTAAATGTCTTCTGCTCTTTATTTGTTAGGGAGAATAGTTCACCCAAAAATGAAAATGTTGTCATCATTAACTCACCCTCAAGTTGTTCCAAAACTGTACGAGTTTCTTTTTTCTTTTGAACACAAAATAAGATATTTTGAAGAATGTTGGTAACCAGACAGTTGACGCTATAGCCATAGACTTCCATAGTAGGAAAAAATAACATGGAAGTCAATGGCTACCATCAACTGTCTGGCAATATTCTTCAAAAAAATCTTCTTTTGTGTTCAAAAGAAAAAAGAAACTCGTACAATTTTGGAACAACTCGAGGGTGAGTTAATGATGACAACATTTTCAATTTTGGGTGAACTATCCCTTTAATGGAAACACAAAAGGAGAAAATTTGAAGACTGTTTTCCTTGCTCTGTCCCATGAAATTCCAATTACTGTTATCAGCTTACTGGAGCACTTGAATTTCTCACATAAAGTTCACATAGGCCTATGACAAAGCCATATAGATGGTGCTTCTGTGTCTGTAGCCAGTCCCCATTAAATGTAATTGCGGGCAATATTTCATGGAGGAAAGAAAGTCATGAAGGTTTGGAATGGCATGAGGGATGGTAAACACTTTTTTTAATGTTTTTGAATATTTAAATCAGGTTTGCATTCTGTCTGTTTCTCAGTAGTGGGAGTGATCATGAAGTCCACTCCTTCTCCTCCTCCAGTATTTGTTCGTGTCAGCGAGCGAGACCTGACAGAGATTGAGCTCCATTCGGTCGATTCCATCAATGACCTGCACCGCACACACTCTGAACAGCACAGCAAAGGTATTTCATTGTGTATGTATGACTTTAAAATCCTTGTTGGTTTCTATACAACTCAAACCTACCTCTCACTGTCAGGTGTTCAGCCACCCCGTCCACCACCTCCTTCCTCCAACGGGAACCTCCAGATGCAAGATCGGGCAGTTGTCTATCAAACAGGTCAACCAGCCTGTATGAGCCGACTGAATGACATTTGCACTTCCACTAGACGACACTATTTCTTAGCATGTGCAGCCATCATTGCGTTTCTCCTCATTCTCATTCTTATCTTCAGTTTTTTAGGTGAGAATATCTGTTTGTTTTGCTAATTAATGTGTTTTATTAAGGCTAAAATGGAAAAAAAAATAGTTTGGGCTTCAATATAAGTTAAGCTCCATTGACCGCTTTTGTGGAATAATGTTGACTTATACAGAGCCCCTAAGGGGACACAATGATGAAAAAGAATATATGAGATAGGAGAAAAAATTATATTTCAATGCTTTTGCGTTCTCTCGCAAAAGTATTGTGTTCTCCCGAGAAACTTTGCATTTTTTACGGAGCCCCTAAAGGGACATGGTGATGGGGGGAAAAAATACGATGGTAGAAAAAATGATGTCAATGCTTTTGCGTTCTCTCTCTAATGTTTCGCATTCCCCCGAGGAACTTTGAGTTCAGAAGTTTTGCGAAGGAATGCAAAGGTTTGCGAACTAATGCAAAGTTTCTTGGAGGAACACAACATTTTATTGAGCGAACACAGTTTCTTGTTGTTAAAGGGTTAGTTCACCCAAAAATGAAAATTAGCCCATGATTTACTCACCCTCAAGCCATCCTAGATGTGTATGCCATTCTTCTTTCAGATGAATACAATCGGAGTTACATAAAAAATGTCCTGGCTCTTCCAAGCTTTATAATGGCAGTGATCGGCTGTATATTTTTCATAAGTCAATCAAAGTGCATCCATCCATTATAAAAGTGCTTCACACGGCTCAGTGGGTTAATTTAGGCCTTCTGAAGTGAAGCGATGCGTTCGTGTAAGAAAAATATTCATATTTAAAGGGTTAGTTCACCCAAAAATGAAAATTATGTCAGTAATTACTCACCCTCATGTTGTTCCAACCCCGTAAGACTTTCGTTCATCTTCGGAACACAAATTAAGATATTTTTAATGAAATCTGAGAGCTGGATCACTCCTCCATAGGCTTCTTAAGGGATCGAAACTGGCCGGCCCAAAAGTTATGAAAGACATCGTTAAAATAGTCCGAGTGACTACAGTGGCTCAATCTTAAGTTTATCAAGCAACGAGAATACTTTTTGTGCGCAAAAAACAAACAAAAAGAACGACTTTATTCAACTACTCTGTAAGGCCGTGATATTTCACGTAGTGAAAATACGCAAAGCTTCTAGGTTGTACGTCACACGTAGGCTCACTATTGGCCGACGCTGGTCATGTGTGTGATGCGTGACGTACAACCTAGAAGCTTTGCGTAGTTTCACTACGTGAAATATCACGGCCTTACACAGTAGTTGAATAAAGTCGTTCTTTTTGTTTGTTTTTTGCGCACAAAAAGTATTCTCGTTGCTTGATAAACTTAAGATTGAGCCACTGTAGTCACTCGGACTATTTTAACGATGTCTTTCATAACTTTTGGGCCGGCCAGTTTCGATCCCTTAAGAAGCCTATGGAGGAGTGATCCAGCTCTCAGATTTCATTAAAAATATCTTAATTTGTGTTCCGAAGATGAACGAAAGTCTTACGGGGTTGGAACAACATGAGGGTGAGTAATTACTGACAGAATTTTCATTTTTGGGTGAACTAACCCTTTAAATCTTTATCGACTAAAATAACTAGCTTACGGCCAAACGCATTGATTTACGGTGGAAGACTAACCCTTGACGCACAACGTAATGACGAACGCGGAAGCGCAGAGGATAGAGCAAAACAAAACACCAGTCACGAATTAGAAGTCTAAAATTACAATTTTTAAAGAGAAATGGTGGAGGAGTTTGAGTTTGTTGCCCAGCTCTGTTTGTTTGAATCGCAAGAGGCATTAAAGCTTATGATACTCCTACATCCTACGTCATACATGCGTCACGAGTTACTCTTGTGGCGCAAGTCGACTTGCGTAATATGCATGCGGCCGTCTGCTGGAAGCTAGTTATTTTAGTTTTAAATATGGATATTTTTCTTACACGAACGCTTCGCTTCACTTCAGAAGGCCTTTATTAACCCCCCAGAGCTGCGTGGAGCACTTTTATCATGGATGGATGGACTTCAAAACAGAAACAACCATTCGCTGCCATTATAAAGCTTGGAAGAGCCAGGACATTTTTTTAATATAACTCCGATTGTATTCGTCTGAAAGAAGAATGTCATATACACCTAGGATGACTTGAGGGTGAGTAAATCATGGGGTAATTTTCATTTTTGGGTGAACTTACCCTTTAAATTGTCAAAATTACTTTCTGTGGTAATCCTCATTCCACGGATGCTGTGGCCAGAGCTTTTTGAACACATTGAACCCGGAACATTCATTTAGAGGGCCTGTTAAACTGTTATTTTACCAAATAACATCTGTTTTCTTTTACTAACCCTCCAGTCATGCAGAGCAGTGCTCTCCACACACTTCTGGAGATGGTGAAACAGAAACAGGAAACAGCTGAGGAAATCTCCCAACTCTTACAACAGTTGCAGCAGAGCAGAGACCATAAGAACATATCACTCGACAGCAGAAACACTACTGCACTGTGAAAACACTGAGAGAAGAGCACCGATTATGAGTCTGCTAATGATCCAGAACTTTACATCAACGTGTGTGACTTTCTGTCTTAAAGGCTTCTATTACTCTGGTGGAATCCATTAGTCAATCATCTTGCTCAAAAACATTCACTTGCCCTGTTTGTGGAGTGTAAACAGACAATGTAGTGATTTAAATGTTGTTGTTTTTTACCAGTATTGTTTTGTACACGTGTTGGCAACTTGCTACATTAGTTTCACTACAGCAAATGATAATACAAAACCACATTAGGAAATTTGAAAAGAATATGTAAAATATATTTCAATTAGTTGATATCACTGTAAACATATTAGATTGTGACATAAATCATGCTTGATCAATGATGTTTTGAATGAGCAAAACATTCGCTATGGTGAGTGCTTTTGAGAGCACAATGTCTGTAAATAATTATGTAGACCATGATGTTCTATTTATGAGATAAAAATAATTAAAGAGTAAAAAAGAAATTCTACATGACATGGATCTTATATTTTGTTGAGTTTTTGAAGCACTTTAAACTTGAGATGAAATCAAAATTGACCCAATTTACTATTAATTATGTCCCTGCTATTTTTGTTTATGTATCTGTGCTTTGAAAATGAATTTCTTTTTCTGCTTATGTCACTCAGGCCATGGGGTTAGAGTGCAACACAACAGTCAGGTTCCAGAAGTAAAAACCCCATTTGTTTTCCCCATAAGAGAATAATAACTTGTAAACCTTTAAAGACAGGCCTATTGTGAGCTATGAGTTTGTTAATTGATGCACTGTGTAAAAAAAAAAAAAGAATTGCTGCCTTAAATTTTTAAGTACAATCAACTTAAATGTATAAGTCATTTCAACTTAACATTACATTAAACTGGCTTAAACTTATTTGAATTTTTGTATAACTTGTAAAATAAGTTAAAATAATGTAAAAACATATGTTGTCATGACTTACTGATCACATAAAATTTTTTTACAGTGTGGTATGTATTTAACATTTTTAACAGCATGATTTCTGGTGAAAAACTACATTGCTTATAATTCTGCGATTAAATCTCCACTAAATCAGATAATCGAAACAAGCAAATCAGGGCAAAAAAACATTCAACCCAAATCCATAAAGTGCTGCGAATGACCAAGTATAACCAAGTCTCCCAAATCAAACTACTTAAATATTTTTTTTTATTTCAATAATATAATTTGCAATGCTTCATGAGATTGTAGTTCTTTTCCTCATTATAAGTAAGTACACAGTCTTGAAACTTTATTTTCAAATACTTTTTTTGCTTCAAATTATTAAGTTGTGCTTCATCTCGTAGCATGTTGGTTTGGTTAATAGCTTATAACGTTTGAACACCTTTTTTTTTTTAAATCCCTACAGTAAAAAAAAAAAAATTAATGGAAAAAATACTTCCAGAAATGTTGTACTCAATTGGATAATGTTAATAAACAGCTAAATAGCTATTAAGGCACTGTTTAGTAAATAGACTCCATTCTGGTATGTAACACCCACTTTTCACCGTCCAACCAATTCCTGATGGTCCCACTCTACTTTTTTTTTTCATTGAATATCCTGTTTAACTCATAAATGTCACATTGCAGAAATGAAGTGGGTTGCAAACAGTTCTTAGAAATGATTTTGGTCACATTGTTCTCCGCTCCATCCTTTATAACACACACACTTGAACTTTGACCTCATGTCGCTGAGAGGAAGAGCTTCATGGGTACCACTTAGAGGGATCATGTAACCCGAGTGAGGGTCCCGACGAGCACAGCGTCCCTGGGTGTTACACATTCTTTCGCTGCAGTTCCTCACACTGGCCTGCAGGGCGGTGACATAGTCTCCTAATACTGAGCCTAGGTAATCACGCAAGAGGGCGCACTGCCGCTGGAGAAAGACAGAAATGTATTTTATGTCTAACAGCTCCAGCAATGGATAATGATGAGGCATGTATATAGAATATTATAAATTTTCAGTTTGTATATGACAGAACTTATTTCATTAGGTTATCACACAGTGGTAAATCCAGACCATAAACTTTCACACACAGGATGACCTGCTGACCTTGGACTTGGCGAAACTCAGCTCGCCCCATAACACAACTCCAGCGGCACCTAAAGCAGCACTCTCACCTAGTGTGTGCTCCAAATCCGTCTGAAAAGATAGATACACACATATTATGATAAAGTTTCACACAATAATATAGTTTTTAAAGTCAGATCAGCCTAAATTAAGACACTTGAAACGAAAGTATGTGAATGCTTTAGAATGAGTCAGAGCAAGTGTTGTTGAAATGTTGTTTATGAAATAAAGCTGAAATACAATAAAATATTAATATAATTAATTAAATGAAAAACTTAAACCAAATGAAAATTTGATATGTTTGCTTTGCAAATAAAGGAAATAAGTTAACAGTTACGTACTAAAATGATAAACTTAAAATAAAGGAAACTAAAAAAAAATGTTAATTGAAATAAGATTAAATTAAATGTAAATATTAGATGGAAAAACTAGTACTAAGATAAAAAAAATTTACACTGAAATTAAAACCATTTAGAAATATAAAATAATAATTAAATGACAACTACTAGAATGTAAACTAAAATTAAGTAGAAATTTAAATAAAATAAAAGCCAATTGTAAATATTAATAAAACTATCTATAATAAATAATACTACAATAACAGTGGTCAGAACTAGGGAATCACAAATTTTATATTCTGTCTGTTTTTGAATTATGTTCATATTCTCAATAACCTATAAATGTCTTATATAAAAATGCTTTAATATTTGATGTAATACGGAGCCCCCCTAGTCCCACTTTGTCAAAACAATTATTTATAACTATCTCGTGGCCTCAAGATAATATCTACGAGTTACTATCTTACTATACGAGTTACTATCTTGAGGCCACGAGATAGTTATAATTATTTTTTTTGACAAAGTGGGACTAGGGGGGCTCCGTAGGTATAAATAAAAAAACACTAAAATGTATCATTTTAAATGGATAATCATTTTGAAATTTGCTAAAAGTTACATTTAACAGTGTTAATAAAATAATGTTTTTTAAAGATAACCTTTGATTGAATCTATTGCCCCCTTGAGTACGGAGGTTAGTTACAGTAACAAAAATGCATGCTAAGTTTGTAGAGTAATGCATTGTTATGCGCTTACAATTCATTGGCCAATAATTCACATACTTGAGATTGGATCTGGGCTAAAGGAGAACCATCCACTTGAAGATGAGGATGAAATGAGTCACTATTACTGTACTGGGCAAAAGCTCAGAACTAAACCCCCTCCTCTTTCAGTGTCTATTCTGGGTGGAGGTGAAGTGCCCACTAATGCATGATAAGACTGGAGCTCGGAGCTCTGACCTTCACAATGTGAAACACCATGTGGAAAGGTCAGGGTGTTCTTGTGTAGGTACCTGATTCAGGAACGCCAATGTGTGTGTGAACGCCACTCTGGCGTAGGGAAAAACAGGAAGTGCTTCAGGGCCAAGTGAATGCTGGGATGCCACTCGGAGGGCTTCAAGTACACGATGTCTCACCATTAGTTGAGCATGTGTATGTCCTGCCAGCTTACGCCCCAGATAAATGCTGGGATACAGGGCGGTGGAGTGTTGCCATAGAAACGCCAGTCTATCATTCAAAATCTCCGTGCCATTGTGACACTGCCCCGTGTAGCCGCTTTGTCCTTGGCCATGATTGTTATAGCAACCGGGAAACCCATAAAACCCCCATAATCCCTCTGGGCAGAGGCGAACACCAAGGCGCAGAGTCTTTTCCATAAACGCTCTTGCTGCTAATTCAAACTCAGCCTTCGCCTTGGATTTCACTTCCTCCTCTGACATATCTGGATGTTTCCACCTAACCAGCTTTTTCGAAAATTTCCGATATGCAATTCTGGTCCCGAAGTTCCACATCCATATGGGCTGCCACGCCTCCCAATCTAGCACAGCTAATCCGCTGAACATCTGTCTCAACACTTCAATGATCTGCGCCTCAGCCAATGAGAGATGAGCCTTTAGGTATCCTTGTTGAGGCAGGCCACCATTGACTTTTGACCCCTGACGGTTGATGTAGGGGTAGAGGCCCAGACGGCGCTGATAAAATATGCTCATATTCTGACCCTGAAATCTCTGCTGTGAGTTATGTATAATGTTGTACTGGCGCAGCGGCAGGGAGACTCCGTACCGACGCTGACATCGAGCTGTAGGCATATTCCAGATCACTGAAAAGCCACGCCTCCCGATGACAGACTCCGCCCCCTGAAGCATATTCTGAACAGGGTTGCTGAGAAACAAAATGGCTGACAGGGCTAAGGTGAGGATGGGATGAATCGAAGATCTCAAATGCATGCCTGTGAAATACACACAATTAGTGTCATTCATTATTTAGTGACATACCTTGCAGCAAATAATCTAGAAATGAGTCTGGAACTATTCAAATTGTGTACTTAGCTTAAGAAATAAACTCCATCATTAAGAACAAATACTCCATCTAAAACTGCTAATGCTTTAATAATTATTTGTACACCACTTTTATGATCTCATGAGATATTACATGGAAGGTTTATACTGTAAAGATGCATGGCTTCTCTATCACAATCTGAGTTTGAAACAAAATATCATTACATTTTAAAATATATTTATAAATATATCTAATAAGCACTGATCCTTCTCTGCTACATACATACATATACAGTCTCAGGGTGCTATTTTTCTTTTTTCATTCTTTATTTTCCAATTCACAGGTTTAGTGCAATATACTTCTTATTACTGATATATTTTAAACTTACTACAAATTTATTATTTTTGTATTATACTGTAGGGGAGAACCGGGGCGAAAGTAACACGGGACGAAAGTAACAAAGCGATTTTCTCTGAGCCCTGACTACATTTGCATTTCAACCTATGACAGCACGTTCGGCATGCAGCCAGTGACCGAGCTGATAAATATCACGTGATTTCATCATCGTTTCACGCGGTTAGGTCCGGAAAGCAGTTTTCCAGTATGATAAGTAAATTTCTTAAACGGTACTTTTTTTTAATTACAAGTTGTGTTTTTCGTTTCATGTGTCACACAGTAATGATCAATCTATAGGTTATTTAGTGCTGTAACACATCCTGAAGTTTGCCTGGTCAGAGTTTTTCAGTATAAAAGTAAATCGGGTTTAAATGTCAGGAGATCCTGTCGAGACGAAAGTAACACTCGTTACTTTTGTCCCGCTATAGGGAAAACAAGCGTTTCTTTTGTTCCTCCTCTAATGTGGTGACTTTCTGTGTGTTGCAGCATTTATTTAAACATATTTATGTCATATTATACCAACAGAATATGGCAGATGTTTATGAGGGGGCTTTTAAAGCTTAAGTCACATTTAAATCAGCTGATTTCTGTCTCACCATTTTTTTCACTCAATCTGTTTCCATTTACCCTAGTCACATTTAGATTTTAGCCATACCTTATAGCTTTAACACCTCCACCTATGCATTTGCAGGATTTCTATCCAGATGTTTTTTATGCACATTTTAAATGTAGGCTATGCATAAAAACAGCTGGATGGAAACATGACTATTGTTACATTATGTTGATAATTTATATTATGTTAATTTAATTTAATTTCATATTTTTCATGTTGAAAAAAACATTTTATAAAATGGATTGACAATAAAAATAAAAAATCTAAACAATTCAAGTATGTACTGTTGGGTTACTTTTGAAACATTTGATGAAACTGAAATTTAAAATGAAAAAATGTAAATTAACAATTTTTTGCAAAGATAAAGGCTAAAATATGTTTGCAGTTACATGTTAACAAGGTCATACTCGGGTATATTTAGGCAAAAAACAAAAACAAAACAAAAAACAAGAGTAACACAAAAAATCTAGCTTGTATATTGTTGTGTTACTTTTGACCCACTTGTGTGTTACTTTCGTCCCTACTGATGGGGTTGAAAGTAACATGAGCAGTCTTAAGTTCAAAGTGAAATTATACTGAAGTTGTTCTACATTTTTACAAAATACCACCTGGTATTGATAGACCACACTTGTGAGTGACTGACCACAGCAAAAATATATCTCTGTCTAAACCATCATCTTTTAAAAAGATGTTTTTCTGAAAAATGGTACTTTCGCCCCCGCTCTCCCCTATGTTTAATATTTGTGTCGTATGTAACATTGTTTGAGTTGTTGTATAATCCGGCACAAAGGGAGGCACTTCCTAATTTCGTTATACATGTTTATAATGACAATAAAGGTTATGTAAATCTAAAAAAAAATATTCAAATAGAAAACAAATAGAAAAATGGTCATTTTAAATTGTAATGATATTTCACAATATTACTGTTTTACTGTATTCTGGAGTGAGCAGCGAGCATGGAGACTTTGACCCCAATGGAGCACCTGACCCCAAACTTTTAAACAGTCGTGTGAATTTTAACATAAAATCGCAATGTTGATAAAAAGGAAATGCCCATAGAAACATCACGCATCAACAACCCAACCTCAAATGTGATCCTATTAAATGACAAGCACAAAATGTGAAGTTATAGAATGTTTATTTTTTAAATAACCATTTGAAAGCAACAGAAAATCTCAGCAAATACATTTCCTTTAGAGGGTTGTGATAAGAGATTTACCTTTCAATTCAATCATTTTTAAAATATAAAAACAAAATAAATACCAGTTAACACAAAGTAAACTCTGATTAAGGCACATTCAGATTGTCACAGTATTTCCAGTCAATACAGTTCCTTGAACCTGTAAACACTGTTTGTGTATCCCTGAATAATGACAGACTGAAGGAGTGTAGCCTGAGTTTCAGATGTTCTTGTGCATCCAGAAGATGGGCAACCCTCTGTTGTCTGTGTATGGCGTTTGCTCCAAAGTCTGACTTACTGGAGCCCAGGATGACGGAGGACAAGATGGAGGAGGTGGAGGAGGAGATACAGGGGGAGGAGGACAGGAAAGTAGAGGAGGAGGAGGTGGTGGTAGAGGAGGAGGAGGTGGTGGTGGAGGAGGAGGTGGTAAAATAGATGGTGTAGATGGTGCAGGATTGCTAAACAACTTAACATCACTCTTCCTCTCTTCCTCCTCATTCTCTGTGCTTCTACAGAACTTGTGCAACACCTCCATAGGCATGAAGGAGGCCAGCGTCCCGACACTTTGGACAGGTTTGGACAGCACATACCCCAGATGGGCATAGAAGTGTTGCTTATCATGGGTGGTTAGGCACAATCGGGTGCAGCCCCGTCCTTCGGCATACCGTTCAACAGCCTCCATCAGGATACGGCCGTACCCCTTCCCCCGCAGCATGTTGCACACCACCACCGACTCCACAAACAAACTACGGCTCCCCAGAACACGGGACAAGCGGGCGTGGCCTATTAGCTTCTCGTCTTGACTCCGCCTCTCCCCCTTCAGCAGCAGGAGACACACAGGATAGCTGTGGCTCGACTGGCGGAGCGAGTGAATTCGCGCCCCCATGCTGCGTTGCCATTGGGCATTGAGTAATTCAGCACACGCCTCCACTAAGTCCCAGCGCTCATGAAGAGGTTCGGTTCGAACTACTGCCCAGCTCACGTCGCCATCGCACCTGCACACACGCCAAGGACACGGGGTCAACACTGAGTGCCGCTTTTGAACAGCTCAGGAGTTATTTCGCAGTTTAAAGCTTTCTTTATTAAAAAAAAGTGAATTAACTTCTACCCCCCCTGTTGTTTCAAATCTATATAACTTTTTTTCTTCTGTGGAAAGACTATATTTTGAATCCAAACATGTTGTTTTGGACCCCATTGACTTTCATTGTATAGAAAAAGACAGCTTTCAGTTCAAAATATCTTCTTTTGTGTTCCACAGAAGAAATTTCAATACAGGTTTGGAATCACATGAGAGTGAGTAAATGACAAATTTCCATTTAAAGGGATTTTACACCCAAACATTAAAAAAAAATGTGTCCTCCGTTAAGAGCGGTGCAGTGTGCAGAACAGAGGAGTATCCACTTGATTTCTTTAAAATCACTTATTTTCAACAGTTATTTCTTTAACTTGTTGCAACAGTAGTCAGTTGTTTTCAACGCTCAACAGTTTTCATAACATCACTTCCACATTTCATTTTCACATACAGACAAAAGCTAGATTGATAAAAATCATTGTAAGTAATTCTGAGCACTGAAGCAATAAACACAAGCAGAAACAATGGCAACAACCTATTTCATGAGTAGTTTTTTTTTATAGCACATTTTCTCAGCTGAAGTTAAAATAGCAGAAGAAGCTGTGGTTTTGATGTGTGGCTGTTGGGTTCGTCTGAATGTGTGATTCCTGATACACCACATGGACTTTATGCTAATGTGAACTAGTCTAAAAAAGAATGTATTTAAGATATAATTTTTTTTAGCTTTGACATTTGTGTTCAAGTTCAGTTTAGACACATTTTCAGTATGTCTCTGAGCTATGCGAATTTGCTGGTCAGAGTTCACCAAATTCAATAACTTCGATACAAACTTCTTTGCTTGTGCTTGCATTTCTATGTATGAATGAATCACCCAAAAATGAGAGTGAGTAAATTACAGATTTTTCCTTTTACAGGGAATATTCTGCCATCAATTATTCACCTTCAAATTATTCCAAACCTGTTTATTGAATGGGGGAAAAAACATTTTTTTAAAAACCAGACATTTTTCAAAATATGTTTTTTCCACAGGAGAAAGAACAACATACGAGTGAGTAAATGATGACAGAATGTTTATTTCTGGGTGAACTATCCCTTTATATCTAGTAACCATCTAATATGATGTTTTCAATGCACCTAAAGAGCAGGGTGGGCAGTGGTCGATATAATACTGATATATAGGCCTAATATAGCAGTTCATGACCCCAAATGATAAGCACACAAAAAAACCCAGCTGAAATTAAACAAACTTCTATTTTAGATAGATTAGTTCACAAATGGAAGCACGGTTTGTTGACCAAGGGGACAAGGTTGTCGTCGGCTGATAATTTTAATTATGAACAGAACCACACATATAAAAATAAGTAATAGCAATAGTTTCTTTGCTAAAATCAAAGAAAGAATCATCAATGGACTAACAAAAAGGATGCAAACTCAGATTCAGCATGTCAACATAAACCATAATCCATTTTCACTCCAAATAAAAAAAGCACAAATCTACCAAAACGAACACACAGAAAAGTTGGAGAATAAAATAACCAGCCTCACCTGCGGTGCTGAGAGACAGAACTGCCAGTTAATGTTTCAAAACTGTCTCTCGTGCAACTGAGGGTTAAAATCAGGAAACAAGAGGCTTAAGCGATCCATTTCTCTGTAAGCTTCCTTTAACACTGGCCTGGAGTCAGTTTAGCTGGTTTTAATTATTGTGGTTTTAGTGTGGAGAGACTGTTTCTAGATCAGTAATGAAAGGAAACAGCTTTCAACAGCTTTTTTAACTTTACCATGACAAGTGTGATATGCTGATGGGAAGTATGTGGGTTTTTGAAAGGGTTGTGCTATAAATGTTTGAAGGCCCTAATATGATGAGAGACGCAGTAAAGCTATCAAAGTAATTTAACAAGTCCATGGAATTTGAATTTCATGTCCATTTTTGTCTGGTTTAGGCTAATTTTATCCATAGGCTTTATGCACAGCTGCACTACTTCCTGAACTTCAGCCAGCTCCTTGTTTCCTGTCTGACATTATTGGACAAACTGATTAATCCAGGTGTGCCTGACCAGTAACAAATACCAGACACACCTGGGTTAATCAGTTTGTCCAATAATGTCAGACAGGAAACAAGGAGCTGGCTGAAGTTCAGGAAGTAGTGCAGCTGGGCATAAAGCCTATTGAGCTCTGGTTTTAAAATGAAGCATCCATTTGTTTCATTCAGACTGATAGTGATGCTCAGCTGGACAGAAACACCTTTCCTCTCTCTCAAGTAGGGGTGTAGGCTATTCAGGATAATTGGAGAAAAAAATTCGGTCATCTCAATGGCAAAAATAAGTGTCACAAATTCACCTGCATTCTCCAACGTGGGAGTCATTCATTGTCAAAAGCAATGCGACTCTGACAAGAATTGAGGGGAGTTTGATTTAACATTTTGAAATATGGCAATAGCTTATGTGCTATCGTATTACGTTTATAAAATTAATTGCTAAAATCTCCTTCTTTAAAACAACATGAACAGCATGCCGCAACAGTCAAGAGCACAACACGACAGACCCAAGTCAGAGAAGTGAACAGATAAACAAATAGCAAGCGGTTAAGATTCCCGTTAGACTGCTTGTGAGAGACACATGCAATTTATTTTGGATTTAGTTTATGTGAGTTCTAATCTGTGATACCTACATGCTGAAAACTTTATCGCTGTCACATCAGCTGTCTTTAGAATCTTCCTCTTCTTCTAGTGGAGCAGATGAAACAGCACGAGTCGTTTTACTGCCACCTATTGGACCAGCTCTCCAGCTCTGCCCTTACACTACTACATACAGTAGGCTACATAACTTGGCCTTGTACATTCTGGATGATCGATATTATTATTATACCATATATAGTTTGTGTTTTAATTATACCATATATTAATATTTTTACAGCCCAAACACTTGCAATCACATAAAATGTGAATGTCTTCTTTAGACTAAAGTATGATATTTATATTTTTTAAAGTGTTTTAAATAACCAGAAGAAGTCATATATTTTAAGTATATATATTTTGTATTGTGGGGAATAATGAATAATTATTACTTGGAAAATTACAATATTTGTTCCAAAATGTATGTCAGTTGGCAGTGTTGTATGACTTTAGCGAGCTGTGAATTTTTTTTCCAGCAACTGGGGGGGGGGGGGGGGGGGGTCTAAACAAATTGATACATTTTTCACTCTTTACTTATACATTATTGGGATACCTGAATAATGCTTATTTTTATGACAGATTAAAAAAGTTTACGATTGAAATGACGCCATGAGCTTATAGAAGAAGCTAGCGTTCTAAACGACTCTTTCTCGTGCTCGGTCTCTTCGACTATTTAAAACTACGCTAACTTACCTAGCCTGACGAGGTCTGTGGATTCCACGGAAAACTAAACGGCTGGACACACGGTGCTGGAGGACAAACCTTGTGACAGGGACCCTGCAGCTCTAGTACCGAATCATGCCGAGGAGCTGATACGTCCCGAAAATGACTACATTTGTTGCAAAAGTGATAGAAACGCTGCAAGTTAACAGTTGCCTTGTTGTCGTACACAGCATAAATGAGTGGGAGTATCTGAATCTAAACAAATTAAGCAATTTCTCTTTACCTAAAGACATTTTGGGGTTCCTTCAACTTCCTTGTATATTCTAGCAAGTCTGGTAGATCCATTACAAAAAAACCTGTCAATATTAATCAGGAAAATAAGATTTTCTTATCAAAAGTCATAAAATGTTGTTGCAAAAAAAGTTACAAATAAAACTCAATTTCTGGTCAAGATAAAAGCCATTTTTGATTAACAGGTTAGTATTTTCGACCAAAACCTTTAAATAGGTGTCATTTCTTGACACTTAAAAGTGTTACATAGCCCAGTGAATCATTCTGAGACTAATTATGAAGACAATGGAACCAATTGGGTAAGACTTGTCAAAGCATTTCTTTGCACAAAATGGTACAGGAGAATTACCAAATTATTTTTAAGTGGGAACATATAGCAAAAAATAATATAGAAATTCAGAAAGAATGGACTTGTGACAAGGTCCTTGAAATAACCAGGCATTCACTTCAGGCCTTCGTTTCGTGATGAGTGAATTTTGCTAAGAAAAGAGCAGGAAAACGCCAGCAAGTGCCTCTAGAGAAGAGTGTTTTAATCTCACACAGTAGGACGCAACCAGACTGTTTCTAGTCACAAGTAACCTGTGAGAAACTAGAGACAAAATGGCTCAGTTGCTCAATAGAACCCATTAGAAAGTTTAAAACAATAAAGTAACAATTTAATATTTTACTCTCAGGTAACTGTAGGGAAAAGTAAATGATAATCAATAAAGGCACATTTCCATCAACTCATTTGATGTAGCCCATGTAAGGTTTTGTTTCAGAACACTTCCCATGACAAAAAAAAAATCCCCAAATAAAAGTAGACACCCTGATTTATCCAAAGTTTATTAAAAGTACAATCTGTAAATGCTGAAACTAGCCAACCCTCAAAGGTGATAAACTAACAATAGCCAGCTAACGCCCTAAAGAAAAAAAACACTCCATTCCAAAACACTTGTATGGTGTCTCCAATCAAAAGATTACAAACAAAACTGATTCCTGACATTTAAATGGCACTGTTCCTGTAATTACAGACCGCATCGTCCAACACACACACAACCATTCACAACATAAGAGTCCCAGCAGGTTACCAAAATGTCTGCTTTATTTATTTTTCAGGACGACTCATTCAGAAAGACTAATGGGAAAAAATTCGCACTAGATTCGGCCTCGCATCCTCCAATTAGGGGGCGGTGTAACAGCGAGTCAACCCTTCGACAAAAATATGTAATAATAATAATAATAGTAATACATTAATCAATACAATGTGGAGTTTAAGTAAGGAGAACGAGTCACTGTGGATACCACCAGCAAAAAACTTTTATGCACCAACAGCAGGGAAGGAAACAGGTCATATTTAAACAAGTTTATCAAAGCTTTGCATTGTCATAAAATGCTCTAAAACGTTAAATTTTTGCGCTTTTTTGCATTTTTTTATTGAAAGATATCAACTTTTTTCTTGTTTAAACATAGATTCTTTTATCTGGTCTCTTTTTCTTTTTACTTTGTTGTGACTGCAAGTGACCATGAGAAAGGATGGGTCCTTGGCTGGGAATTTTTGGTGAAAGTGAATGTGTGTGTGTGTGTGTGTGCGCATATGTCCTCTCCAGGCTGTGGTTAGTTCAGGGTCACAGCAGTTGAGCTGGTAATGCTTTTATTTCGTACTGAACAGCTGATGCAATAACAGGCGTGTGTGTGTGTGTTTGTGAGGTATGATTTGAAAGTGTGAGTGTGTTTGATGGAGTATGAGTGCACATAAAAAGGAATGTGTGCCTACAAAATGTTTTGAGTGTATAACCTGTGTTGTGTTGTATAGTGTGTGTGTGTGTGTGTGTGTGTAAGGCACGGCCAGTCTGTCTCAGTCCCTCAGGTCCACGCTGGATCCAAACAGAGCCACCAGCTGCTCCTCATAATGGGCGATATTCCTCTTCATGATCTCCTTGCAGGGTCCCAGCAAGCGCTCAAAGGCTTGTACATCAATCACTGAAATACATAAACATCAGTCATGTGATGTTGTATGAGCACTTGGCACACATTTTACTTCAATACATAAATATAAGTCAGATGCCCACAGAGACACTTACCCAAGCATTTGATGTCCCCTATAGCATAGGCAGAGGCAGCACGTGGTTTATTAGTGACGAGAGCGAGTTCTCCGAAATACTGCCCTCTACTGCAGCGAGCGATCTCGACCTCAGTGTTATCCTGTCTGTCTGCTTTCGTCTGGAAGACACAGAAAGAACCATTTAAAAATTAAATGTTGGCATTACTGAGGGAAAATTAAAGAATGTTTTTACATTGCTACAATCACCAAGTAGAACTGCAAAATGTATTGGTTAGCCAAACAAATAGTCCCGCCCCAAACCTAAGCCATTGGTTAAGCAGAAGTCTCCAGCTAGTCAGACTCGGTATGCAAAAATTTTAGGGGAATCAATCGAACAAATAAACAACCTTAAAGGTGCTCTAAGCGATGTCAAGCGTTTTTTAGGCCAAAACATTTTTTGTCACATACAGCGAACATCTCCTCACTAACCGCTGGCTGCCTGTCCCCTGAACACACTGTAAAGAAACGCGATCTCTGTAGACAGCCCAGGCTCCACAAACAGCAACAAAAAGAAACTGGGCTAACCCGCTCCACGAAACATGACAAACAGTTCCAGCCAATCACCGACAAGAAGGACTTGGGGGCGGGGTTTGGGGGGTTAGTGCGCGGATGAGGAGGGAGGGTCTAGCTAGCCTCCGTTTTGTTTAAATACTTTAAACGTCAACAAGAAGTGACGTCACCCGACATCGCTTAGAGAACCTTTAACATTAAAAAAAATGAAAATTGTACAATATAACAATGAAAGAGAGGGGAAAAAAGAAAGATAAAGAACTCACTTTACTCTTCATCATAATCTTCACGTCTCCAGACTCCACAATGTAAAAGCAATCAGCTTTATCACCCTGGTAATAGAGCAGTCCACAATAATAATAATGATGATTAATGATACAATAGCATAAGTCAGAGTCCTGATCTTCAGTTCTGCTCCATTATTATAGTGCTATAACTACACTTGCTGTGTGTGTGTGTGTGTGTGTGTGTGTGTGTGTGTGTGTGTGTGTGTGTGTGTGTGTGTGTGTGTGTGTGTGTGTGTGTGTGTGTGTGAGAGTGTGAGTGTGAGAGAGAGCTGGTTCTTTTAGACATGCTGTAGCTGATCAAGTATGTAAGATCTGAACAGAGGATATCTCAATGGTTCTCAATGGCACGGCCCACTGACTTACACAAAATTAGTGTGACACATGTATAAAGGTAAATGTACAAATGACCAAGTGGGATTTGCAAACAAATAATTATTTGTATTAAGATTATATGATTAAGTTCTCATTAAGTCAATTTACTTTTGTATAGAACTTTTCACCATACACACATTGTTTCATGGAAGCTTTACAGAAATGAATATGAATTTATCATAATATTCATAATGAAAATATTTATAGTTTATTATAAATATAGTCCATTTAGCAGTTTAGAGCTGGGCGATAGTTTAAATATGCCATGTAGTATAGATTGCTTTATAAGTTTACTGTATGGCGTTATATTTATACACTTATGTCCTACTTTTTGGGGCAACTGCAAAGCTCACCTGCATAATGATCCTCTCTCCATCATGAAATGATTTTACACCCAGCACATCAACAATCTTCATCCTCTCAGATAACTATGAAACGTGGGGTAAGATGGGGTAAGTATTCATCATTTCATTACCAGTCTAAGAATGCAACAATGTTCTTCTCTTTCTCCTAAAGTTTTTCTTCAATGATCATTTCATCTATGCAACCCTGATACTCTTTCACAGAACCACTAAACACATTTGTCAATAGAACAAATGTTTTTACAATCATTTTCTCACCTCCAGTGATTTGAGCAGTGGAACAGACTCTATGAAGATTTCATACATCCTTCTCTTCTTTGCATTATTCTTCACTACTAGTCTACGGAAAGTCGCCCGATCCTGAAACAGACATACCGTTCAGCTGAAAACTCTGTTGTATTAGGATCTGGATTTATGCTTCTGTCACACTTATTGTCATTTCATAATTGCTATGAAAGCACTTTGAAAGTGAAGCAGCAGTCATTCAGTGTTCCGATCACAAG